TTGGATCATTTGGTTTTTTGAACACCCCTATGTATTGTACTTTTTTATCATTAGAATTGCACACACAAAAACCCTAATTTGTTTGTCTCGTAACATAAAAATTTAACAAAATTTTATGAATAATATTTTGTATGACATATAAACACGTAATTGCATCATGTAGGAACAAAAAAGAAGCTGAATTTCTTTCTTCAGTCTCAAATTAAATAATGATGTTGAACAGTACTTTAAAATAATATATCTATACTTTCACATATTCAGCTAAAAAAATAGGTATTATCAACACGATGATGTTATATATAGAAGAGAGCAATTATTAATGTCTTAATGAAAATATAAAATAGGTAAGTGATTTGCAACTTAATATTATATATTTGTAATAGAATGTAAGCATAATTAAGATAATTACGCACAATCTCCACCAAAAAAATTTAAATGTTGTGCTTTACATCAAGGTAATAAGTAAGATGCGCAACTTATAATTGCAAAAGTTATAAAACCCATTCCGCGATGCACTTTGGATCCTTGCTCCTATTAGAAATGAATGATAAAAAAACTATAAACAATAGTGCGAATAGAAAACATCATTGTGTGGGAGTAAAATAGTGTTATAGCAATGCATCCATTTCATAATTACCATGAAATAAGATACTGCAAAAATAGCACTTAATGAAATACTGATTGTGCATCAAATACTGATTCTGCATGACAATAAAAAAATTAGCAAAAAAATTTATGCAATGACAAACGAAATTGCTATAAAGATAATTAAAAAAGGGCTCTCTCACTAAATTTTTTCTTCCATTTTTACCTATGCCAAACAACAATGTTATCTCTTTCTAGAGATAACCAAAAGCTTCAACTACACTAATCTTTGAAATACTTTCTTATAGACTATGTTAAAAGTACTATTTGTAACACAACCATTTTCATTAAGTATCAACATCTTCAATCCCTGCTTGCTCTTTATTCTGGATAGTGCCACATATAATTGCCCATGAGTGAAGACATGCCTAGGGAGAAAAATTCCAACATGAGAAAGTGATTGTCCTTGACTCTTATTGATAGTCATGGCAAACGAAACGACCAGGGGGAATTGTCTTTTTTGGAAATTTATAAGAAATGTATGATTTGATGGGCTCATCGTCATTCTAGGAATTAACACAATTTCTCCTATATTGCTTCTTGGGCTTTTTGACCCTTATGCCCCTTAATTAATAATTAATTACCAAATTGCCCCTCATTCAAAACTATTTCGAAAATTTACCCTTCCCAACAAACATAACACCAATCTACCCCTGTTTGACCGTTGACCGCGAAGCCTACCCGGGTACACCATTACCTACCCGGGTAAATTTTGAAACTTTTTATCTACCCGAGTATGTAGGGGTGTACCCGGGTAGAGTTCTTGAATCTGGGAAAATGTTTGAATTATTTACCCGGGTACGTAGCAGTGTACCCGGGTAAATCGCGTCCAGAAACCCCAATATGTATGGGTTTCGGCCATTGTTGCGAGGTATAGGGTTTTTGAAACCCCAAATCTTTCTCTCTTACCCTCTCTAATCCGAAACATCACACATATTTCATCTCATCATTTCAGAAAGCTGAATCTTGGGGGGACATTGAGATTACATCTCCACACTCCCATTTTGTGCTAAAAAATCTGAACCAACCTCCAAACCCAAAACCTAGATCTAATTTTTGTGTGAAAGATGAGTTCAAGTCCAAACATGGTTCCTATAGTTGTTTACTACAATGGGAGGCATTTTGAAGGTCCGAACGGTGTCCGATTTGAAGGAAAAACAAAAACGATGAAAATCAAAGTGGGCACTACATGCAATGAACTGAAGGAGAGAATTCTTCAAAAAATGGGGTCAGAAGGCATACATTCCATCCACCGCATGATAGCCAGGTTAGAGACTGTAGTGGATATGGATACAATATACTACATTGGAAACGATATAAATGATGATGAAGATGTGGAGTTCGTAACAGATGCGTTTGTTGAATGGAAAATATTAAAATATATTGAGATATATGTTGAAGTTGATGTTGGACAATCTTCATCTTTACCGGTGCATACAACCACTACTGCACACTGTACCGGTCAAGAAGATACAGTTGTACGATCTTCTGCACCTCCTCAGGTAGCATGGGATGAGGATGAAGTGGATGAAGACGAGGACTATGTGGACAGCGAAGAGGAGGGAGAACCTGAAAGTGCTATTCCAGAAGGTGATTCGTCAGACACTGATGTGGACGGTAATTTTGAGGCTGACATGAGCGCCGTAAGTCTCGGTACCCCAGCCTTGTCACCACTTCATGTCGACCCAGTCAGTAGTGGTAAGTTATTAAATTTGAATATTTGCTTTAGACAATTTATTATTTGTGGTAAGTTATTAAATTTGACATGATCTTTAGATGCAGGGTCTGAGGAGCCATTCTGGAATGAAAGCCAACATTATTCATTCATTAACTGGGCGCACCCTAATGACGAGTTGGAGATCCTTTATGGCGATGATGACTTGCACGGAGGTTGGAAGTTAGGAGATCCGTTATTTGTGCAACAAGAATTTGGGTCCAAACCAGAATTGCAACATGATGTGAAGATACATTGTATGAAGGGGCGCAGGACAGCCATAGTTGAAAAAAGCGACGAGTCAAGATTTGTTATGAAGTGTAAAAACCATGCTGACGGTTGTCCCTGGTATATGAGGGCAATTAAGCCGAAGAAGGGAGCTAACTGGGTGGTCCGTAAATGGGGTCAAGGTCACACATGCCTAAATCAAGGCCTAGCACAGGATCATAGACAGTTGGATTCAAATGTCATTTGTGCGGCTATAATGAGTATGTATTCTACTGTTTATTTAATGATTCAGATTAATTGATAATATGGTAAAGTTAATTTTTTTTTTCCAGATATGTTAAAGGAAGATCCATCCACAAGACCAGCTCTGATACAGGAGAGGATACAGGGAACATATGGATACAACATAACGTACAGGAAGGCCTGGAAGGCAAAAATGAAGGCCATCGTTAAAATATAGCATTCTTCCACGTCCAGATACCCGCTCTGTTCGGTAGGATCCCACACTGCTTCAGGAGCCTCTCACCAAATATAGCATTCCAGCCTCTGGCGGTCTTCAAGGTCTCTGTTGCCATAGGCACTCCAAATCTATGCAGAATCTTCTGCACCAGAAATGCAAAAGGCAATTCAGCCTTCTTTGACTTGGCTGCCTTCCACATCAGTATGCATATGTAATGCCTCCAGTTCACCTGCTGACTGTGAAGGAGGGCCCACAGGATGACAAAGTCCCCTTCCAGCACCTTTGAGTGATTATGCGGGCGCTGGAAAATAATATGTGTCACCACATAATGAAGAATGCGAGCAGAAACTGACAAGTTGCTAACAGGATAATGAGCAAAATGACCGGGCTCAGCGTCTGCCCTCCTAGTCTCTGTAACAATGGTCTCCCGGTTATAATCACCAAATATATGATGGCTGTCTCCATCATATAGTGCTGCTCCTGTGACACCATCAAAATCGAACCCCAGTATGTGATGGCTGTCTCCATCAATATGTGTCTGCTCAAGAAGCGGCACGATGTCAAAACGCTCTAGGTTGAAGAATGCCGAATCCAGTGATTTCGGTTCGCAGATCTTCCGGGTCATGAAAAACTTCACGAACTTCTCGTGTGAAGGAATGTCATCCTCAAACAAATATCCGAACGTCAAGTCCGGAGCCTGACTCGAAGCAGCCTGGGGCTGAGAGGATGACGACCCATCGTGACGACTCTTGGTTCTTCTCTCGGAATGGGTCACTGGCAGCTTTGAAACGCGTCGAGAGGTCATTGTGTCGCACTATTAAACTGAAAAAATAACCAAAATCAGAAATTAGATACATGTTAGGGTTAGGGTTAGGGTTAGGGTTAGGGTTAGGGTTAGGGTTAGGGTTAGATTCAGGGTTAGGGTTAGACAAATTGATAAAATAATTCGGACAGAATCAAATGATATAAACGAAAATACAATGAATCAGAACAGAAATCATAACATAATTGAAAAAACTGAAAAAAAAATTCACCTTTGATCGATTTCAATCGGTAGAAGGCAGAGAGGTTGCAAGGTCCGCGAATGATGATCACAAACAAGACGAATTAGTGCAAGATTCTGCCTGAAATCGCTCAAGATGACACTCCTCCAGCAGCTCTACTCGGGTACCCCTTTTGTGGGTTTTCGAAATGGGGCTGCTGGGGTATTTTAAAACCCTACCGTCGATGTTTACCCGGGTACACTGCTACGTACCCGGGTAAATAATTCAAACATTTTCCCAGATTCAAGAACTCTACCCGGGTACACCCCTACATACTCGGGTAGATAAAAAGTTTCAAAATTTACCCGGGTAGGTAATGGTGTACCCGGGTAGGCTTCGCGGTCAACGGTCAAACAGGGGCAGATTGGTGTTATGTTTGTTGGGAAGGGTAAATTTTCGAAATAGTTTTGAATGAGGGGCAATTTGGTAATTAATTATTAATTAAGGGGCATAAGGGTCAAAAAGCCTTGCTTCTTGTAAGAATAACTGCCTTAACAACATGATTCCCCAATTTAGTAATAAGCAATCTTGTGCTGTTGCATAAACCTCTTGATTGATAAACATTTCTCAATAGCATAATTGGAAATTTAACCTTCAAAGTTAATTTATGATCAGGAATTCCCAAACATAAGAATGTATTTAAGATCTCAGGTGAGAACTCATCATCCTCAAATGATGAATTCCCATCTTGCTTCAAAACCTTATTCGAACTCAAAAATGTCCTTTCTTCACCCGGAATCAGACATTAGGTTCTCGTTTAACATAACAACATTGGATAATTTAGGAGTTAGAATAACACGTTCTTTGAAGAACGTCAGATCTAAAATATTATCCAGGAGATTTGGGTACACAAAATCAACTATATACGAAATTCTTTAATCAACAATTCATCTGGAATTGTTATAATAGATTATCCATCAACATCTTCTCCAAGATCACCATCCCCTATTTTAAGAAGCCACTCAGAAAATTCTTTTATTTCTATCAAATTATGAGGGCTACCTCCAGAAGCAAGACGCATGTTCTTGGTCAAAGTTAATAAATGACAATGGGACCATAGATGAAAAGAATTGATGGTTGCATGAACTATCTCTTGTCTGCTACCATGAGAAATGATATGTAATATTTGCCGAAAGTCACCTCCTAGAACAACGACTTTTCCACCAAATGGCATATCAACACAGCTAGTATAAGAAAATCTAAGAATATCTTTAAGTGTTCTATCCAAAGCCTCAAAGCAAAATCTGTGTACCATTGGGGTTTCGTCCTAAATGATTAACTTTGTTTTTGACAATAACTCAGCTAGAGTAGAATCCTTCTATATATTGCACGTTGAATCTTTAGTGATTTAAATAGGAATACGAATTCTTGAATGTGTTGTTTATAATAACACTCACATGTAGTTGTGGATTTAATATTGAAGAATAATTATAAAGAAAGTAGAAGAAAAAGAAATAAAGTCACCTTTGGTGAAAAAGGAGTTAAAATGACAGTTAAGAGGGAAAAATGTGGGTAAAAAAAGTTACCCAAAAAGTGAAAGTAAAGTTAGAAACATGACTAGAAAAATATTCTAGTCCATTGGGTAAAATTTGGTAATGAATGGAGGTGCATAGATAGATAAGCTTTTACTCAGTTAAAATAACTTAACATATTTAAGTTAAAGAACCGTGAACCTTCGTCATTTCCTACTTCCTTCTTTGTGCGTTGAACCCGTAGCCATTGGAATTAAAGCTTAAATTGAACTTCTTCATTTCTTGATGAAATTAAGTGAGGTAAAAAGCAAAGTTGCTTAGAATTGGGAGACAAACACAACCCTTGATCCATAATCTATCAAAAAGCCTTATATTGAGAGAAAAATGGAAGGGAAAGTGGTGCCCTTTTTTTGTTTAAAGGTTTAAGGTGTTTTGATCTCATTTGAGGTTAGAAATTCACTCATTGGGCGATTCTAGGTAAGTTTATGTTAAGAAATCCTAGTTTTCTTTGAGTTTTGAGAAAAATTGAATTTAGGTTTTCATTTTGAAAGTTTGGCTTGATTGAGCATGTTAGATCTTGATTGAGGCTTAGCTCATGTTGAGAAAAAATTTTAGATGAGGATTTTAACGGTGAAAATATATTCGAAAAAATTAAAGATACCGTTTTTTGAATAGTGTCGTATACATGAATAGTACTGTAGAGATGAACAGTACCGTATATATGAATTGATGATGGATAATGATGTAAATGTGTTCATTGGTTATAGTGTGAGACCAAGTGGACATGTGGAGCAAGAGCATGGACATTGAGCAAGGCTCTTGATTACTTGAGATTAAGGTAAGTATCAAGCAATGGTTTGATGTGAAACTTATATGAAATGTATATATGTTTAATTATGATAAAACTCACCATGGATAGGTGTGTTGGTCATTTGTTGAGCATTTTGTTGGCTTGTGAACCCTTTGATTTGGAAGAGACTAGAAAAAGAGCTATTCCAGGTAAGCTTTCGGTCCTTGAAGTTAATCTCCTGTTTGTTCCACCAAACTCTGAGGGAGGGTGGTAGTTTAATATGGTATGTTAAAAATAATTTGTTATATGTTGCATATATATGTATGTATGTTTGTGTGCCACACAAGACAATGTTTCCTTGTGTGAGGCATAAGAAGGTGTTTCCTAATGCATAGTATGAAACAGTGTTTCCTCATACGGTATGTTGCAAGACGATATTTCCTTGCGTAATGCATACTTGTTATATTCTCTGGCCAGTAGGATTACATTATTGCACACTGCATTGTCATACATATTCTGATGCATGCACGGATTTTTATACTGTGTTTATATCAGAAGTGAGCTTAGGGGTGCAAGAGCCCTCCAAGGGTCCCTAGCTTACTGAGGTAATTATATTATCTCACCCCGCATTATGGGGATTACCATTTCAGGTACAAGAGCTAATGGTGCTGAGGCATCGCGTGATAAGAAGCCAGACAAGGGATATTACCTGACCTGATAGTCAGGATTACCTTGTTATGCTGATACGTATTTGGCATGGTTTTATTTTGAATATGTATCTATATGCCATGTCATTATTTTGAGAGCATAGGAGATGTCTATGCCATGTTGATAGTTTATCCATTTTGTTAATTATGTCTGTATATGTTTAGGTTACTTATTTGATTACATCTCTTTTGGTTGGTTGATGTAATCACGTAAGTAACTCTATGTATATTATTTTGAGACCTGTTATGATTATGAGATAGCCCACGCCATGGATGGCTGGGTAATATGGTTTATGCTTGGATTATATTAAATTGTCAATCAGGTTAGAATTATTATGATGAGAATTATCCCTAGTGGTCCAAAATACAGACGAAATGCTGTTCGTTTTATTTTGGCCATGGAAGTGAAAAAGTTTGCAATACATGAGGAAAAGAGAAAATTTATTCAGTTAGCTTCCGCATTAATTAAGTTGAGCATGTTGCGCTTACCATCATATGTATGTTAATACACCGGATGCACACGGGGTGTTACACTGTTCGTCCTCCAGGAAGTAGAAGGGAAGCAATTATGCTTAAAGCAACATTAAGTATGATTTCAGCTTTTGATCTAACAGATGCTGACAGTATAACACCTCACAATTTTAAATTAAGTGTTTAAACTATTAAGTGTGTAATTAAGTGGAGATTCAGTGAAAATCCTGAGTATAAGGCCAAAATACAAAGAAAGGGCAAAACGGTAATTAGCCAACACGCAACTCTAGGAAGATACAAATTGAGTAGAAGGTCTCAGATGATAGAAATAACCCTCGAAATGGATTCAGAACAAAAAATTGAGTGGACAGGCAAGTTTCAGAAAAATCAGTGAATAGTGTTTTTCGCGGGTAAAAATATCGCGGTACGATTGCACCGTAAAACGTGCCAGTTGAGTTTTGAGCTCTAGGTTTCAAATATGAGTTATAAATGGTCTATAGAACTAGGAAATATGATTTCTGATAATATTTGATAGAATTAAGCCAGTTTGGGGAAGCGTGCCAATGGCGCGCGCAACAGCTTAAAACAATATTTTCTCCGAACGACCGGAAAACTCCAGATTCATCTGATCAAGTATAATTAAAGGATTTTGGTGAATGTTTAATTTTTAATTTTATAAATAGGTTGTGAAATAATCGAAGACTAGTGGTGAGATTAAGTGAGTTTAAGTGAGTTTTGAGTGAGGTGGCACTTGTGGGACCCACCCCCACTTAAATGACCATTTAAGCACATGTGAAAATCAGAATTTGGAACTCATCCCCTTCATTTTTCAGCTGCAAATTAGTGGGTCTCCATGGTTAGGGTTTTGAAAACTTCAAACAATTGTAACTTGAGTTCTAGGCCACCAAATTGAGTGGTTCCAAAGCCTAACTCACTTGAAATTTCGCAAGGAATCCATTTTTGTCCTTATTTTCGAGTTTGGTACAGTGTAGAGGGAGATACTTCCCATTTTCAGTTGCGAAATATTGAAGTATTTTGGGGATTTTGGTGGATTGGAAGCTCACTTTGGTTCATTGGTTGCTTGAAGATCATTCCCTTGGACCTTAGGAGTTGTTTTGTGGTGAGTTTCTCCAATTTTCATTGAGTTTTTATTTGGATTGAATTTGTGACATAGAGTGGGCTGTTTGGATTGATGTAGTTAGAGAGCTCAAATTGAAATTTTGTATTAGACAAATATGGCTTAGAATGATGTTTTAGAGTGATTGATGTCATAAAAATTATTGAGGAAAAAATGATTTAACTTAGGCAAATTTTGTGTTCATGAGCAAGACTTTATGAATTGGAATTTCGGTGTGATGAGATGATTGAGTTGTGGAGTAATTGTATGAGTTAATATTAAGATTGTATGATGTATGGAGTTATTAAATTGAATTGGATACCTTTGGTATGATGACTTGATGAATTCGACCATTGGAGGGTAGTTGAGGTTTGATGTTGTAAAATCATGCAATTGATGTGTTGTGTTATTAAATGTTGTTTAGATGAGTTGTGGGTTGAGTGGATGCATGGAAAATTAAAGGAAAAATGTTTGGTAGTGTTGAGTGGTTAATTGGACCTAGAGCAAAATATTAGGCAAAACGACGTTTGAATGACGAAAAATGAAAAGTGGCACTTGATATGGCCTTTTGGTAGCCTAAGGATGCCTAAGAAAATGAGAAAGAAAATTTAGAAAAATAAATTGTAGATTAACACTATAGAGGCCGAACCTACATGGTGTAGGGGAGGTTTTTTGATGTTTCGCGTTTTGACGTAATTTGACGTACACTGATTGTTGTACGTGATTGTATAGGTTGCCGTACGTCGACTTAAACCCTGAACAGTGAATCAGTGGATTGCCCTTGGTCCTGGACCAAGTGGATTGAGGTAAGAAATTGGTTCAATGCATGTATAATTGTAAACTAGCATGTATTGTTTGAATTGTGAGTGATTGGGAATGTCCTCTGTGTAGGCATTCTGCTGTGTACCAAGTTGAGGGATAAGCTGCTGCGGAGCTTGTGAGAAAAATAATTAAGGTAACCTCTTAGTACTGGGGCTTGTTCCCCTTTTCTGTTCCACCTTTCCAGTTGATGGCAACGGTAGGAAGTGTGTATGAGTAGTATAGAACACATGAGCATGCATGCATTATTACAATGGGTACTTATGTACCGAGTCTCTGGCCAGTAGACAGTTTTTCTTAGCCTTCGGGCAGTTTCGGACTTCCACTGGATAGGTCTCCGAGAGGGAGTTCCAGTTGACCGTGGGTCATGGTGTATGATCCGGGTAGGAGCACACTAGGAATGTCTCTGGCGTTTTGGATGGTTGGGGCATCATGGTTGTGGTTTTTGGAACGCATCTTGGATGATACCCATAGGCTTATATATGCCCAGGGCGTGCGTGATATTGGTAGCTACCATCCCGTATCGTCGTAGTTTGTATCTCTATATTCCCCATTTCTCTAAAACCCTTGCTATATCCCGTTTTAAAAAGTGGTTGTTGTATTCTATTCATATGCATCGAAGTGAACCATTGGGCGGAGTTTTCTCCAGAACCTCTGGGTTACTGAGATATATTCGTATATCTCACCCCGTCTCGGGGCATTTATTTCAGGATGTACCTGTGGCGTTGGAGCAGCGGGCAAGAGGCCCGCAGAGTGATAGAGGAGCGTTTTCAGTATTTGGCATATTGTTCATGTTGGCATGCCTAAGTCTAGTAGTTTGTATCATTTGAACTTATGTTTGGATTTGTAATTGAAGTTGTAATATTGTAAAGGGTAATT